TGTAGGGACCAGCTAGTGGTTCAGAAGTGTAGGACAGGCTAGTGGTTTAAGTGTAGGGACCAGCTAGTGGTTCAAGTGTAGGGACTGGCTAGTGGTTCAAGTGTATGGACAGGCTAGTGGTTCAAGTGTAGGGACAGGCTAGTGGTTCAAGTGTGGGGACAGGCTAGTGGTTCAAGTCTAGGGACAGGCTAGTGGTTCAAGTGTTGGGACAGGCTAGTGGTTCAAGTGTTGGGACAGGCTACTGGTTCAAGTGTAGGGACCAGCTAGTGGTTCAAGTGTAGGGACAGGCTAGTGGTTCAAGTGTTGGGACAGACTACTGGTTCAAGTGTTGGGGCAGGCTTGTGGTTCAAGTGTATGGACAGGCTAGTGGTTCAAGTGTAGGGACAGGCTAGTGGTTCAAGTGTAGGGACAGGCTTGTGGTTCAAGTGTATGGACAGGCTTGTGGTTCAAGTGTAGGGACAGGCTAGTGGTTCAAGTGTAGGGACAGGCTAGTGGTTCAAGTGTTGGGACAGGCTAGTGGTTCAAGTGTTGGGACAGGCTAGTGGTTCAAGTGTGGGGACAGGCTAGTGGTTCAAGTGTATGGACAGGCTAGTGGTTCAAGTGTAGGGACAGACTAGTGGTTCAAGGTTTGGGACAGGCTAGTGGTTCAAGTGTAGGGACAGACTAGTGGTTCAAGGTTTGGGACAGGCTTGCGGTTCAAGTGTATAGACAGGCTAGTGGTTGAAGTATAGGGACAGGCTAGTGGTTGAAGTGTAGGGACCGGCTAGTGGTTCAAGTGTAGGGACCAGCTAGTGGTTCAAGTGTAGGGACAGGCTAGTGGTTCAAGTGTTCGGACAGGCTAGTGGTTCAAGTGTTGAGACAGGCTAGTGGTTCAAGTGTTGGGACAGGCTAGTGCTTCAAGTGTGGGGACAGGCTAGTGGTTCAAGTGTATGGACAGGCTAGTGGTTCAAGTGTTGGGACAGGCTAGTGGTTCAAGTGTAGGGACAGGCTAGTGGTTCAAGTGTTGTTGGGGAGCAGGCTTGTGGTTCAAGTGTTGGGACAGGCTACTGGTTCAAGTGTAGGGACAGGCTAGTGGTTCAAGTGTTGGGACAGGCTAGTGGTTCAAGTGTAGGGGCAGGCTTGTGGTTCAAGTGTTGGGACAGGCTAGTGGTTCAAGTGTTGGGACAGGCTAGTGGTTCAAGTGTTGGGACAGGCTAGTGGTTCAAGTGTTGGGGCAGGCTAGTGGTTCAAGTGTAGGGACAGGCTAGTGGTTCAAGTGTTGGGACAGGCTGGTGGTTCAAGTGTTGGGACAGGCTAGTGGTTCAAGTGTTGGGACCGGCTAGTGGTTCAAGTGTAGGGACCAGCTAGTGGTTCAAGTGTAGGGACAGGCTAGTGGTTCAAGTGTAGGGACCAGCTAGTGGTTCAAGTGTAGGGACAGGCTAGTGGTTTAAGTGTAGGGACCAGCTAGTGGTTCAAGTGTAGGGACTGGCTAGTGGTTCAAGTGTATGGACAGGCTAGTGGTTCAAGTGTAGGGACAGGCTAGTGGTTCAAGTGTGGGGACAGGCTAGTGGTTCAAGTCTAGGGACAGGCTAGTGGTTCAAGTGTTGGGACAGGCTACTGGTTCAAGTGTAGGGACCAGCTAGTGGTTCAAGTGTAGGGACAGGCTAGTGGTTCAAGTGTTAGGACAGACTACTGGTTCAAGTGTTGGGGCAGGCTTGTGGTTCAAGTGTATGGACAGGCTAGTGGTTCAAGTGTAGGGACAGGCTAGTGGTTCAAGTGTAGGGACAGGCTTGTGGTTCAAGTGTATGGACAGGCTTGTGGTTCAAGTGTAGGGACAGGCTAGTGGTTCAAGTGTAGGGACAGGCTAGTGGTTCAAGTGTAGGGACCGGCTAGTGGTTCAAGTGTAGGGACCAGCTAGTGGTTCAAGTGTATGGACAGGCTAGTGGTTCAAGTGTTGGGACAGGCTACTGGTTCAAGTGTTGGGGCAGGCTTGTGGTTCAAGTGTATGGACAGGCTAGTGGTTCAAGTGTAGGGACAGGCTAGTGGTTCAAGTGTAGGGACCAGCTAGTGGTTCAAGTGTAGGGACCAGCTAGTGGTTCAAGTGTAGGGACAGGCTAGTGGTTCAAGTGTAGGGACAGGCTTGTGGTTCAAGTGTTGGGACAGGCTAGTGGTTCAAGTGTTGGGACAGGCTAGTGGTTCAAGTGTGGGGACAGGCTAGTGGTTCAAGTGTAGGGACAGGCTAGTGGTTCAAGTGTAGGGACAGACTAGTGGTTCAAGGTTTGGGACAGGCTAGTGGTTCAAGTGTAGGGACAGGCTAGTGGTTCAAGTGTAGGGACAGGCTAGTGGTTCAAGTGTTGGGACAGGCTAGTGGTTCAAGTGTGGGGACAGGCTAGTGGTTCAAGTGCATGGACAGGCTAGTGGTTCAAGTGTATGGACTGGCTAGTGGTTCAAGTGTAGGGAGAGGCTAGTGGTTCAAGTGTTGGGACAGGCTAGTGGTTCAAGTGTATGGACAGGCTAGTGGTTCAAGTGTAGGGACGGACTAGTGGTTCAAGTGTAGGGACAGGCTAGTGGTTTAAGTGTTGGGACAGGCTAGTGGTTCAAACGTAATTGCCGACGACTCAGGATCGATAACCTATACACTATATATATGGATCTTCAGCAATCCATGATTGTCGTAAGAGGCGACTCATGGGATCGTTGACACAAATCATCGGATACCCGTTGCGCAAATCAATGATGTCTGCTTCAGATTCGATTTTTTGCAGACCGCCGTCATAAATTTAGAAACTTGTTGAGAAAATACATTTTGCCAGTCTTCGTGATATTGCTTGCCTATAGGTAATATAGTTGTATAACGAATAACATAAACTTACTCTTCATCTGAAATTACTGAACATGTGATAGAAGGCAATAAGTCTTTTCTGAATGAGTCTGGTCTTTATCCTGGTAGAGAGTAAAACCTAATACATGAACAATGACCTACGTACTTGAGGCCGGCAGGTTTGGGCTACACTGTGTAGGAATCAATACAAGCGCAACTTATTCAGGCGTCTATTGTTTGTTGGTCGGCAGTGCCAATAATTCATGAGAGATAGCTGACAACGGATGAGACGGCCATTTCCAAACTGCCGACCGTGTGTCCCTATGTATGGTTGCATTTTATCACAGTGGGTCTGGTGACATAATGTCCAGCTCACTTTTTGAAAACAAGCTTAAACGTCCGTAAAGTTCAGACATTTACAGATGATTCAGTGATCACTTTGTGACCAGTTTCGCGCGTGCGCACGCACTCACATATACACCCATACACTCAGAGACAGACAAACACGAGCACCCACTCTGAGAATGATATGTTATGTACTGATCCACCCGTGTTTCACTCGCTTTGTGACGTTGTTGACCATGTATTGATGACCGACGCCATGTACATAGCACTAATTCCATGCATGTAAATAAGTCATGTGATATTTACCCTCAACAAATGAAACAGGACACAGTCCACTGCTGCATCTCACCGGACCTAACTGCTCATGCGTGGCACTGGCTTTCAAAGGTTGCATTCCAACAGAAAACATCGATATACACTTTAACGAGCTTTTATGCTGCTGTACTTTAGTGTTTGTAATACTCACGTCATCGTCTGTTTAGTGTTTATTTGTATTAGTGTATGTCATCTATATTGTGAAGGTAAATCCCCGATACAAACATATCAAAGAGCTGAAAGAAGGTTCTGCTGATAGTAAGAATTGATCTGTCAGATACATCATTAATATAAGCACACCTATATTATGAAGGTTTGTTTTTTTTATACAATAGCGCTATAAGAAGAGTGTATTTTCTTGATAATACAAACAGACCTTCAATGTGATGTTTCTTTAAAATACTACAACAGATCTAATCGAACGGAGTATTCTTCAATAACATGAAGATGTTTTCTTTAAAATACAACATATCTAAAAGAAGGACGTGTTTTCTAGATAATACAAATACATGTAAATCAATGGGTTTACTTGATAATACAAACAACCATTAAATATGAAGGTGTATTGTTTATAATACCAACAGATCCTAAGTGAAGGTGTTTTTCTCGTGATACAGACAGATCAATCAGATGATAATACAAACAAATGTGTAAGATGAAGGTGTTTTCTATCACACAAACAGTTCTAGAAACATTATCGTGTTTGGGCCGAACGCCGTTAAGGGGTACTATCTCCGACAATTCACCGGGACTAATATTGTTGCCTTTGATAGCCTATTGTTTTTCTTCCCAGACTAGAAAGTTCGATGGTTCGCCATCTAGCTATGCTGCGCCATCCACGTGGACAGTTGAGAGAATATCCTCATGTTGATCAACAAAGATAAAATACAGTTTCGTCTTGGATATCCATTTGGGGTATCTCAGTGTTTCGTTTCGATAAGAAGCGTGACGAATTTTCCGTAAGTTCTTTGCTTCATATTGTGCGAATTTCAATTACATTATTTAGGCTTGTAACAAAAACTATCGATTTCACTTGAACATTTTGCTTGCCTGTCAAATCGGGAGTATGTTACTGTCAGAGTGTAAAATGTGTAATCCTTGTATCATTAGTTTATTGTGATGTTGTGCCTTTGAGTAAATCGTTTAGATAATAGGGACAGATATTTCAGTCAGTTAGTAAAATATCTAGACATTTTATATATTGCCTAAGTGAATCATATTTTACATATGTACGTATACAACGAAAACGCTTGTGAAAACAACGAGTTAGCGTTGTCGGTCCCGCGTCGAAGAACTACGGGAAAAGTAGACTGATTCTGTTCTCTGCTACAACAAATACTTCGAGCAAATTTTATGATACAAAATATTTTGTAACGTGTAGAACATTTTATTGTTATTGTGTAAATTATCAGAACAGTTCAAGTAAAAGTGGTACAAATGAAAAGCCTACCATATCTTTCTAACACGTTTATACGTTTGAACCAGATTTTTTGCTGCAGAATCTATGTTTGAACAAGTTGCTCTACTACTGTGACAACACAGTCCGAATTGTCTCCCCTTATCGTGTATTCAAAATGGTGGTAAGTCATCCAAGCACAATAAGTCCACAGTCATATTCAAATAACTCACTTAAGTTAAGTTTTCAAACTTTTATATTTTAAACTCTTCTTCAACAGAAAATTTCCCTCCAGTTCAGTGCCCAGTTTGAAAATGTCACCAACTTGAAAGCCGTAGACGAGGATTTCCGATGGTATTTGAAGGTAACTTTGTTGACGTTTACCGTTTTCGTGAGCACATCAATGGGTGACAAGATTCGCCCCGTTTGGGTAAGTTACAAGTATAAGGGTGAGGGTAGGTTACACATATTTAGTATTGTCCCTTGGATCCGCTCTCCGATCTATCTCCCGTTTGAGATCATTCCACTTAGCTGTAAGCCGGTAAGTTAGTGTAACCCTTGCGATCAAACACCCCTTCACGATCCTCAGGGTTGGGGACCACTTTAGATCAAACATCAAGGTTTTAGGTAAAGCTTCACAGTGAAATTCAATATGAGCTACGTTCACATTTAAATATATATCATGCTTTATCGTTGTGCATGCCTTTTACTGTGCTGTAGGGCTATGAAAGATCGGCTTTTTTATCAAACACAGCTTGACTTGAATAGGCACCATTTGCCAATCCAGCATGCCTTGATGAGACATCAAAGTCTCTTCTCGTGCCATTAACAGGGACCATCGATGTGAAACACTTGTTCGATGGATGTATAGAGTGGTCACAGTGTAATAATGTTTACACATGTTTACACGTTACACAGGTTTTGCTCTAGATCAGCTGGTCTCATGACTGCCAAACTATATCCCGGTGTCAGGGGTTTTCGACGATATAAGTCAAAAACTTAAGTTTTATCTTACTATCATGTAAAGTTTGTATTTCACTAACCTTGAGTGATAAAGGATATATTCATCTATTTCACGAAAAAATATCAAGTGGTCCCTACAAAAATAGCGTTCATGACATCGTAACGGCGAAACTGTTGGCGCTCGATCTCCACATCCGGGTATTTTGTATGGGTTTTCGACGATGAGCCATACTTTTCGCTCCACACTGCGAGGGAGTGTTGTGATCATGAGGCTTCCTATTTACATATTGCAGGTCACTAGCAGACGACTGTTCTTACTGAAATTTCGCTTGCTATTTTATGTTATACAGGCAATTGATTTTATTGATCGTGGTATTAACGATCTTGGGTAAATAATATGGATGTTTGTTTGCTTTTTATGTAACTTAACTTCCGGATATCCGTTGTCAATAAAACTTCATCCACCCTGCCGATGAAACTGCTTGTGTACTCTGATCGTACACGAACTTCCCCAATATAGCGCGAGCAATGCAATCGTCGAAATCACCAGAAAGTCGAATTCAGCTCTCTTTGGGATATGTATATGTATGACACATTTTGACATTCATACATTTTTTTCACAGGACTTAGTTGAGTAAATGAAGTTAACACTGACAAACTACTTCCAAATTGCTGGGAAAATCCCTGGGAATTCCCCAGCATGAATAAATATAGAAGCATTGTTTCTGTTGAGACAGACACATTTATCTTGAAATGAGCATTTTAGCAAACACCAGGAAAAGTCACAAAGTTTGACAGCATGTTTGACACTTCCTTTGGACCCATCCAGATGAAGAAATAGACATCAGGACAATCATAGTATTGACTTGTTCCTTGTCTGCCCTGACAATGACAGTCTACAGCAATCAACAAATTTACCTCAGTATCTGTTTGAAGCATCTTTATGATCACTTTCCAATGCCCGGACAATGATTACTGATGATTAATAGTTGTAATAATTGTCACAGGTTTGCTGAAGGGGCACTGAGCTATGGCTTCTACCCAGCAGTCTATCACTGCCACCTTGGTCTCATCAGCTACAGTAAGATGATTGCCAGCGGACGCAACTGAATGTAACATGAGACTGGGCTACTATCTGTAAAGACTGCGGACATAACCTTGAGACAATATTTATATACATATATATATGCATATATGAAAGGGCACATGTTCATTAATTTCTTCAACTAAAACTGACCAAAAAACAGCAGATGCCCTTTGGAAGCCTTTATTTGGGAATATCCCTGTAAATGTAACGAGTGCTGTCATTGTGACCGACTTACTCAGATAGTTCTTGACAGAACTTTTGCATCTAATGATGACATTATTTGAATATATTTGTCATGTTGCTCATGTCATCTGTCCTTTTGGGGAAATAAATTACTCTCTTTTTCACTCTGTGAAAGTTCATACTTCACTGAACTCACTCAAAGTGATAGTGAAATTCTAAATATGTCACTAGTGATTGTGGACAAATTGTTCATGTGGAAAAAACATGAAATGTATGAATGAAAAGGTCAGTTCAGTAGCATCCATCTATGAAAACCTTCTATGAGACATGCAGAACAGTACTGGAGGTACTGAATTTGCTGTCTGTGACAGTGATGGGATCGTTGATCAGTTGTTCTGCTAACACAAAAGCTGTAAATGTGATGAAGGCCATGTGTTAGTAATGTCAGCAATGACATCAAGGAGGAGGTGAAAACATGCATGTTTAGAACTACCCAGGACAGAAGAGATTATATTCATTATGAAGAAACTCTAATCCTTATGTTCTGTAATATTTGAGGAAAAGTGGAAGGATTTGGAGAACTGACTGCAAATCATTTAGGCAGTAAGAAATATAAGTTCATGGAAACAGTGAAATACAATAATAACAAATTTTATGGGCAACAATTTCTTTCATTTTGTGAGTGCAACGTTTTGGTACAGATCCTGTTGTCAAGCAGGGAGCATTACTGCTTGACAACAGTACAAGAACGTGTATCGAAACATAACACTCATGTAATAAAAGAAGTTGCTATCCATAAAATTTGTCATTGTTGCACTTCCCATCGTTTAAAATGGAAAATTGAAAATACTATTCAAGATAACACAGCCTGCTTTATTCCACTGTAGTACCTGGTGCATGTGTAAACAGGTGGAAATGGGCCTGAAAGGTATGTGGTATAAAGGAATGAAATCATAGCCTTGTTCCAGTGGTTACAAAAGTGCCAAGAGGAAGTTTGATTGTGAACCTAGATAAAGGGAGCTGCCATTAAACAATCAGCTAGCTCAGAACACCAGACTGCCAGGTTACTGGTTAGCACCGGCTTTGTTTCAGAGTTTGACATTACATTGCTTACTTATGTAATCTTCAATAAGTATGGAGCCTATGGTCAATGCCGGCATTCTTGATTATCCAGTCTGGACTTGCCTGTCATTATGAGGATTGTGAAGAATGGAGATATAATTTATGTATGAAGTATCTTATGAAGTTCACTATCCAGGAGGGTTTGTTGACATAACATATTGCAAGCCCTCATCATAGTGTGTGTGCAAGCTCTACTTCTCAGCCACATATTTTGTGTAATTCTGTGTAATTAGCTGCTTAGTACTATATGCTTGTGTTGGGGGTTATGGCCCAGGAAAGTGAAATCTGGACCAAACCTCCTCAATTTAGGTGTCGCTTTCGTGGGAACGGTCAAGCTACAGTGAACACTGAATTAAGAGTTCCCGGGACTCTCGATATATAAGAAAACAAAGAAATGTGAGTCGTCGTCTGATACCATAGTCATGGTAGAAATTTAATAAGTAAATAATGATAAATGTTTGAGTCACAGACTGCTCACCTATAAGTCAAATTGATGGATCATCATTGATGGTAACCATTGACGCTTTGCATCCGGCAACTACACAGCTCCAATACTTTTCTCAGAGGGTTTTCCTACACCGATATTTAACACCTATTCTCACGAAATGTGCACCATTTGTAATTTTATGTGTCTCCGCATTAAATAACACTTTTTGACTGATTTCAACTGCTTATTTCATGTTTATATTTGGCGACAGGCTTGGTAGGTACCTGAGGCATAGAAATTGTTAATGGTTTGTTATTTATCTGTGTGAGTCAGGGTAAAAAGTTCAGGGTAGAGTCACCAAAATGTGCATGTCTCCAATGATAGTATAACATTTTGAGTGAATATTTCAAAGTAAATATTCATCTTGTGTGAACTATACAGATTACATTTTCAACATAAGGTATTGCCCCTTTCGTCCATACCCAGAACATATCTTTATATGGTTTAGTGTTTTTTAGAATTTTTGTTTAGTATGATGTCTCCATAAAGTGTAATCCATGTTACCTCATGAAAATGAAAAATAATTATTTTTAAAAAATATGCGCATTTGCCATTTTGATAAAGAAAAATACAGAGAGCTCTTTAATTACCTTAATTGTTTGATCTTTGTTAGACATGTAAAAGAGCTCGACTTATTCATTTATTGTATTTATAAGAAACAACTCCCATTCAGTTAGGCCTCAACTCAGCTTACTCAGCTAACAGGAAACTTCATCTCAGTTAAGAGGCTCAGAGATCGAGTATTGGGGTTGCGCGCTAATCTCAAGTATGGTACTCTGATGTTTTCACAACAATTCGCTTGCGCGGCACTTTAAGCACAAGTTTGGTTTTCGCTTTGCCGGGAATAGGGAATATTGAAATTTTGCTTTCCCGGGCTGACGCTGTGTTGGGTATGTGGTTGTTCTCAGCCAGACTGTTACACGCATTGTTAATAATGATTGTACAGGTACAGCAGTCATAATCTGTGAAAAGGAAAAGCCCTGTTTACTACTTTGCATGGATTTCTGATAAACTATTAAATATAATTGCAACATACTTTGACAGTATATGACAGCTTAAATGACTATGTTGTTTGAAAATTAAGAATGTATTGATGAGAATGTCCACAAATGTCACTAGCACAATTACTAGTGGGCCAGCAGATATTCGGAACGCAGATTAGAATGCACTGTGTATTCCGGGATGCCCGATACAGAGTGTAATAAAGATATATCAAAATGGTTTACACTTACTTGCTTTACTAACAGCTTTACTTGATTGTCCTTCAGCTAAGATGTCTGAACTGTGGGGAAGAGACTGCCGACTTTATCTACCTCACCTTGACAGTGAGTATACACGAAATGCTGACCATACAGAAATGACAGTTATTCTCTCTTGTCTCATGGATTCCTTGAAGTTTTCTTTCTGTTTGTATGTCCTTCCTACGGGAAATGTTTTTGCAAATCTATCCAGTACAACCTTGATAAAAGATCCAAAGATCACCTCAGATAAAAGCAAAGGGATATTGAAAACAAATGATTGTGGCTTGACCAGTTGACAAGGTATTTATCACACATCCAATCTGACTATGATATTCTGTTTTCAGTTCCACGACAGAATCAACCAATCACGAAATAGTGTTGTTTCTTGAGACAGCGCTTGCTGGTCATTTGTTTTTGTTCAGTGACATTTTAACCTAGATTGTAATAAAGTGATTACCAATGAAGCATGTGAAGCAAGCTGTCAGCTGGTGACTACTGGTATGTGTCTGTTCCAGGATAGCGCCCCTCTCACAGGAGGCAGAGGCTCAGCCAGTGTCGTCCTCAGGTGCAAGTTATGCAAGAGAGAAAATTCCATAGGTAAGTTTTGTGGCTACTTTGTTATGCAGTGTGTCTGTGAGGATGTATCCAGTGCAGCCTCGTTACCTTCAGCCCCTCCTTATAGAACAAATACAACACCTCCTTCCATCTCGTCTCCTACACATCAGTCTGAATGTGTAGTTCTTATGACAGACACACAACCAGGCAGGTCCTGGCCTGCTTCCATCTCGTCTCCTAGTACATCAGTCTGAATGTGTAGTTCTTATGACAGACACACAACCAGGCAGGTCCTGGCCTGCTTCCATCTCGTCTCCTACACATCAGTCTGAATGTGTAGTTCTTATGACAGACACACAACCAGGCAGGTCCTGGCCTGCTTCCATCTCGTCTCCTAGTACATCAGTCTGAATGTGTAGTTCTTATGACAGACACACAACCAGGCAGGTCCTGGCCTGCTTCCATCTCGTCTCCTAGTACATCAGTCTGAATGTGTAGTTCTTATGACAGACACACAACCAGGCAGGTCCTGGCCTGCTTCCATCTCGTCTCCTACACATCAGTCTGAATGTGTAGTTCTTATGACAGACACACAACCAGGCAGGTCCTGGCCTGCTTCCATCTCGTCCCCTAGTACATCAGTCTGGATGTGTAGTTCTTATGACAGACACACAACCAGGCAGGTCCTGGCCTGCTTCCATCTCGTCTCCTAGTACATCAGTCTGAATGTGTAGTTCTTATGACAGACACACAACCAGGCAGGTCCTGGCCTGCTTCCATCTCGTCTCCTAGTACATCAGTCTGAATGTGTAGTTCTTATGACAGACACACAACCAGGCAGGTCCTGGCCTGCTTCCATCTTGTCTCCTACACATCAGTCTGTATGTGTAGTTCTTATGACAGACACACAACCAGGCAGGGTGCCGTCCACTAACCGATCTTATCTAAGATCAATCTTAGAAAGTTATGCCAATTTTACAATCATCTTAGCTAAAAGTTACACCTATTCCACAAATCGATATTAGGCCGATCGTAGCCGGTCCCAATCTTATGATCTGATCATCCAAGCTTAGATCAAGACTCTTTCGTGCGAGAGATAGAGAAATGCGAAGCACGAGTTATCTCCCTTTGCATAGTCTAGAAGACGATGGAAGTAGTTTTGGAACGAATTTTAAACGTGGAGAAAAAAAACTCAAGCAAAATATTAGGGTAGTGAGCACTTTGGTTTCAGGTGCAAGTGCGTGTGAACGCTGGGTATCAGGCATATATAATATGTGGCTGAACCTTGTCGATCAGAATAAACAATGCGTGATGAGGCATCCTCTATAACATATCTAGAATCTGTCAGTGGTCTTGAAAAACACGCGGCCTGCCTTTAGAATCCCCCACCAAATAAGCCCATGTGAATCAAACATATTTATATCTTTTTGTTTGTTTCAGGACATTGTCCACTTCATGACCCATCCCTATTCTTAACCATGACGTTGCAAGATTGTTGTACAAATGTATTACACCGACTCCCTCGGCTGTGTTGCCATGACGACAGTGGTCTGACTGGCCTTACATGTGTAAGGCTTCAGTGCTGTGTTTATTTACATCACAGAAATAAACAAATTCATTTCATGGGGAGTTTTAGGGGGCGTTCATGGTGAAATGCTCGCTCTTCTTCACATAGAATATGAAAGCCACCATTTTGATTTTAGCAATTCCTAGGTTGGTCATGAGCAACTTAGACTTTGGATCTTAACTTAAGCATTGACTTGGGTAAGATTGGTTAGCGGAACAGTATGCCGATCTTAACGCAACGCTAAGATTGGGATTTTAGGGGTTTACGATTGGCGTAAGGCTAAGATCGGTTAGTGGAACGGCACCCAGGTCCTGACAGCAGCAGAAGTAGACCCACATCATACTTGTGAGTTTGATAATCAGACATCGGGCAACACGTTACTCCACTATATCACTGTCCTTGGTTCTACTGATCAAGTTTCCACACCTAGTTATTCAGCAGACCACACAGAATGAGCAAAGGCATGTTCACGGAAATCGAAGTTTGTTGTTTGCATCCTTTAAAGGGTTATGATAACCAGTAAATCTTCTGTATCAATGGTATGTTTCGTTATGTATTGTGAAATTTGGCACAACTGCAAGATTCACTTTGAGGTTCCACTGGCAATGTCAACTGACGTCTGCTAGTAAAATATTGAGTTTCCTCCTTGTATCTGACTGAATTACCAGATCACTGTCAAAATAGATGTATGGAACACGCAACATTTGTCATGAAATGACAATCTAGTAGCGTCTTAAGTACCCAACATGACTTCTGTGACATCTAGTCTTGGAAGACATGCCACCTATGTGTCATTGTTCTCTTTGTTTCCACAAAAGATGTGAAAGATAACTAACCTCATTTTCAACAAACCAGTCCTTTATTAATTAGTTTTCAGTCTGGTTTGAGATTGTTTGCTATGCTGTCCATCCATAACATGAATATGAATGATTTTTGTATTTGTTGCAACTTTCCTTCATATTACTGAGTAAATTATCTTCCTTGCCTTATGAAATATATTTTTACTCACTTGTTCATTTGTTCACTGTGACATCACAATACAAATGTCTAGACTTCAGTTGGTTTCTTTTCCGTTGTGACAGATGTTGGTGTTCAGTGATATAGCTGCAACACATTTTATATTTGGGATTACACTTTCTCAGTAAAGTACAGATTTTAGTACTTTGTAGGGCTGAGTCCCATCTGGGATTCAAACCCACACCCTCAGAGTCAGGCACCTAATCACCAGCATACAAAGTCAGCCACCTAACCCACTCAGCCACTGTGCTTCCAGGTAGCAGCAAGTCATGAAATCAGCCACTCCCTCTGTTAGGACTGTCAAACTGTCTCCCCTCATGAAGGTTCATCTCTTTATACATCACAGACTTCCTCACTTATCTTAAAGTAGTCCCCAAAAGAAAAATTCAAGTAGCTCATCACAGGATGTCTCCCCATTTCTCTCCTGCTTCATCACCTTGTATTAATCTGACAGTTGCGCTTAGACCTGAGACTAAAACTGAGTCCACTATGCGACACCTTCATTGATCATGTTGATGCCTTAAGTTCAGTGGCCTGGGCAAGATGTCCTTTCCGTCAGGGCACCTCATCAGACAATTTCACACCTCTGCCGTGGAAGCAGCATACAAGTCTACCACTCACCTGCCAGGTGCCTCCGCTCTCCTACCAGATGTAGCTGCTACCCACAGTTAGGTGCTCATATGAATCCTTCCATCTCATCCTCCGTCATCCACCTCATAGCACCTCCACCTCTAAGAGTGGTCAGAACACCTCCCTGGGTGCAGAGTGGGTGGGAATCCCTGTCTTCTTCCCATCACTCCAGGAAGTTTGGGCCTTCCACCCTAAACAGGGAGCCTTTTTCTCAGCTTTTTGGAGGTTGTCTGCAGTGTATAAAATAGTTTTTAAATGTGGTCTGTCCAAGGACTGGCTGCCAGTCCCAAAAACTAGAACTCTTCATTCAAACCAAGTTAAGTTTATTTTTTCAAATATTTCCCCCGGCCATACTTATTTAAGAGACCCTCCTTCACAAAAATAGACCGTCAAGGACGGTGGGATGGACTATACAATGTTATCTGGTGTATTACCAACTTACTACTGACAGCGGCAAATTGCCTGCCTATATTTTTAGGAATGCTACAGTTTAAAGAAAAGTTCATCAAAGTGTTTCCAGTTTAAGCTGGCTTTAGCTTTGTCAGAGCCAGATGTGCTACTGTGCACACTTCTCTATTTTTTATGATAATGTATACATACACCATTGTGTTTTCATCTACATGTATATTGGATGGTGCATGCTGCTTAGTATACAGACCTGTGAAGATCCCAGTTAGAATTGGTCTTCAGCAACCCATGCTTGTCGCAAGAGATGACTTAATGGATTTGGTGGTCAGGCTTGCTGACTTGGTTGACACATGTCATAGTATCCTAATTGTGTAATTGTGTGATCTATGCTCATTCTGTTGATCACAGGATTATCTGATCCAGACTCATTAAGCTAGAATATTGATGAGTGAGGCATTTAATAACAAACAAACAATCAGGAAATTTTAGTGAACAAGGGTTTGACTGTGAACATGTAAATTTGTGTAACTTACAGTTCAATTTTAACATGGGTGCTAGTGATCCTGCTACAAGATGAAATGTCAGATGAACCATTTCAGTTATTGTTTGAAAGAGATATGTCTCTTTTCCAACTGTTTCTCCATGATCTTTCCAGACATACTGAAGGACACATTGTCTTCATACACAATAGCTGATGCTGGCAAGTTCAAGTCTGTGGTGACCTTTGACTGCCGGGGTGTGGAGCCCACAGATTTCTCACCTAGGGTAAGCATGCTCCTTGGTGACCCTTGACTGCCGGGATGTGGAGCCTACATATTTCTCACCTAGGGTAAGCATGCTCCTTGGTGACCCTTGACTGCCGGGATGTGGAGCCTACATATTTCTCACCTAGGGTAAGCATGCTCCTTGGTGACCTTTGACTGCCAGGGTGTGGAGCCTACATATTTCTCACCTAGGGTAAGCATGCTCCTTGGTGACCCTTGACTGCCGGGGTGTGGAGCCTACATATTTCTCACCTAGGGTAAGCATGCTCCTTGGTGACCTTTGACTGCCGGGTGTGGAGCCTACATATTTCTCACCTAGGGTAAGCATGCTCCTTGGTGACCCTTGACTGCCAGGGTGTGGAGCCTACATATTTCTCACCTAGGGTAAGCATGCTCCTTGGTGACCTTTGACTGCCGGGTGTGGAGCCTACATATTTCTCACCTAGGGTAAGCATGCTCCTTGGTGACCCTTTGACTGCCAGGGTGTGGAGCCTACATATTTCTCACCTAGGGTAAGCATGCTCCTTGGTGACCTTTGACTGCCAGGGTGTGGAGCCTACATATTTCTCACCTAGGGTAAGCATGCTCCTTGGTGACCCTTGACTGCCAGGGTGTGGAGCCTACATATTTCTCACCTAGGGTAAGCATGCTCCTTGGTGACCTTTGACTGCCAGGGTGTGGAGCCTACATATTTCTCACCTAGGGTAAGCATGCTCCTTGGTGACCTTTGACTGCCAGGGTGTGGAGCCTACATATTTCTCACCTAGGGTAAGCATGCTCCTTGGTGACCCTTGACTGCCAGGGTGTGGAGCCTACATATTTCTCACCTAGGGTAAGCATGCTCCTTGGTGACCCTTGACTGCCAGGGTGTGGAGCCTACATATTTCTCACCTAGGGTAAGCATGCTCCTTGGTGACCTTTGACTGCCGGGGTGTGGAGCCTACATATTTCTCACCTAGGGTAAGCATGCTCCTTGGTGACCCTTGACTGCCAGGGTGTGGAGCCTACATATTTCTCACCTAGGGTAAGCATGCTCCTTGGTGACCCTTGACTGCCAGGGTGTGGAGCCTACATATTTCTCACCTAGGGTAAGCATGCTCCTTGGTGACCTTTGACTGCCGGGGTGTGGAGCCTACATATTTCTCACCTAGGGTAAGCATGCTCCTTGGTGACCCTTGACTGCCAGGGTGTGGAGCCTACATATTTCTCACCTAGGGTAAGCATGCTCCTTGGTGACCATCTACAACTGGGGATGAAGCCAGTTAAGTTTTCACCTTTATTAACAAGGTTATCGACAATGGCAGGGTTCTACTTCATAAACTAGTCCTTCAAATTGTTAATTATGCAGTGTTGGACAGTGTTTGCCATGATACAGAAAAACTGTGTATTTGACGCACAAATTATTTCAAATAAGCAGTGAATTTAGATGCTTGCATCATTGTTGACGCAGTGCTACTGGGCAGATAATCTAAACTTCTAAAACTAAATGTTTGCCAGTTAACTGCTCAGTGCTGATTAAATACCTGACCTGCCAATAAATGCAATACCTTGTTTTTTGTTGACAAGTTGATGTCTTGATGAAAGTTCCAAACTGAAGTTGACTCCCAAAAACATGTCCATGACCCTAAATTTTTATTCCTAGTGTAAAAACTGGTTTGATATAAAATATTTGATGATTTAAAAACTCAGACATTGTGGTATGTTTATGAATGTTCTGACAGCAGAATAGTGGATATAAATCTGCAATTAGTTCACATTGTTTTCTTGCAGGTTGGATGGAGTGTTGAAGGGGAAGAATCTGGCACAGTGTTTTCAGACATCGACTTAGGGGAGAAGGTTAGTATAGCAGTCGATACCATTTGGTGGGGGTGGAAAGGTTGTGAGCATAGGAGTGTTCTCAGACATCAACTGAGGAGGGAGAGGAAAGATGGTGAGTTCTCTAGATTAATGAGTCTCTGTTACAGGAGTGGTATATCAATTTGAAAATTGTGTCATCGATAATAACTTGCATGAACAATTGTGCTGAAATAAAGTTCTAATGTACCCACACAATACACAACCAGACTTGATTATTTACAGACCGCCCCCATATAGCTGGAATATTGCTGAGTGTGGCGTTAAATTTAACTCACTCACTCACTCACAATACACAAGATGTGTCTTTATTCATGCGCTGCTTCATAACTGAGTTCAGAACACTGCCTCTATTCGTAATCCATGCATAAATGTGTCACCTCTCCACAGTGACGTGAAATGTCATTTTTGTATTTTTTCTGATATTTACTTCTTGAGTATTTGTTTATGATTAATTGATAATTAGTTAGTGATCTTGATAATTAGTTAGTGATCTATATAAACTGTTTTCTCTGTAAGTTACTGGAGTTGTATGAACTAAAGTATCCATTACAGGTTACAGGAGTGGTATAACTTGATGTGTCTCTATATTACAGGAGTGGTTTAACTTGATGTGTCTCTATATTACAGGAGTAGTATAACTTGATGTGTCTCTTTGTTACAGGAGTCGTATAACTTGATGTGTCTCTCTGTTACAGGAGTAGTATAAGTTGATGTGTCTCTATGTTACAGGAGTTGTATAACTTGATGTGTCTCTATATTACAGGAGTAGTATAACTTGATGTGTCTCTTTGTTACAGGAGTGGTATAACTTGATGTGTCTCTATATTACATGAGTGGTTTAACTTGATGTGTCTCTCTGTTACAGGAGTAGTATAACTTGATGTGTCTCTATGTTACAGGAGTTGTATAACTTGATGTGTCTCTATATTACGGGAGTAGTATAACTTGATGTGTCTCTATATTACGGGAGTAGTTTAACTTGATGTGTCTCTTTGTTACAGGAGTAGTATAACTTGATGTGTCTCTATATTTCAGGAGTGGTATAACTTGATGTGTCTATATTACAGGAGTAGTATAACTTGATGTGTCTCTTTGTTACAGGAGTGGTATAACTTGATGTGTCTCTTTGTTACAGGAGTAGTATAAGTTGATGTGTCTCTATGTTACAGGAGTTGTATAACTTGATGTGTCTCTATATTACAGGAGTAGTATAACTTGATGTGTCTCTTTGTTACAGGAGTGGTATAACTTGATGTGTCTCTATATTACAGGAGTGGTTTAACTTGATGTATCTCTCTGTTACAGGAGTAGTATAACTTGATGTGTCTCTATATTACAGGAGTGGTATAACTTGATGTGTCTCTATATTACAGGAGTAGTATAACTTGATGTGTCTGTATATTACGGGAGTAGTATAACTTGATGTGTCTCTTTGTTACAGGAGTGGTATAACTTGATGTGTCTCTTTGTTACAGGAGTGGTATGACTTGATGTGTCTCTTTGTTACAGGAGTAGTATAAATTGATGTGTCTCTATGTTACAGGAGTTGTATAACTTGATGTCTCTATATTACAGGAGTAGTATAACTTGATGTGTCTCTATATTACAGGAGTAGTATAACTTGATTTGTCTCTTTGTTACAGGAGTAGTATAGCTTGATGTGTCTCTTTGTTACAGAAGTAGTATAACTTGATGTGTCTCTATGTTACAGGAGTGGTATGACTTGATGTGTCTCTTTGTTACAGGAGTAGTATAACTTGATGTGTCTCTTTGTTACAGGAGTAGTATAACTTGATGTGTGTCTTTGTTACAGGAGTAGTATAACTTGATGTGTCTCTTTGTTACAGGAGTAGTATGACTTGATGTGTCTCTTTGTTACAGGAGTAGTATAGCTTGATGTGTTTCTATGTTACAGGAGTAGTATACATTGATGTGTCTCTATGTTACAGGAGTGGTATAAATTGATGTGTCTTTATGTTACAGGAGTAGTATAACTTGATGTGTCTATGTTACAGGAGTAGTATAACTTGATGTGTCTATGTTACAGGAGTAGTATAACTTGATTTGTCTCTATATTACAGTAGTATAACTTGATGTGTCTCTCTGTTACAGGAGTAGTATAACTTGATGTGTCTGTATATTACAGGAGTAGTATAACTTGATGTGTGTCTCTATATTTCAGGAGTGGTTTAACTTGATGTGTGTCTTTGTTACAGGAGTGGTTTAACTTGATGTGTCTCTGTATTACAGGAGTGGTATAAATTGATGTGTCTCTATGTTACAGGAGTAGTTTAACTTGATGTGTGTCTTTGTTACAGGAGTAGTATAACTTGATGTGTCTCTTTGTTACAGGAGTGGTATAACTTGATGTGTCTCTATATTACAGGAGTGGTTTAACTTGATGTATCTATCTGTTACAGGAGTAGTATAACTTGATGTGTCTCTATGTTACAGGAGTGGTATAACTTGATGTGTCTCTATATTACAGGAGTAGTATAACTTGATGTGTCTGTATATTACGGGGAGTAGTATAACTTGATGTGTCTCTTTGTTACAGGAGTGGTATAACTTGATGTGTCTGTATGTTACAGGAGTGGTATGACTTGATGTGTCTCTTTGTTACAGGAGTAGTATAAATTGATGTGTCTCTATGTTACAGGAGTTGTATAACTTGATGTCTCTATATTACAGGAGTAGTATAACTTGATGTGTCTCTATATTACAGGAGTAGTATAACTTGATTTGTCTCTTTGTTACAGGAGTAGTATAGCTTGATGTGTCTCTTTGTTACAGAAGTAGTATAACTTGATGTGTCTCTATGTTACAGGAGTGGTATGACTTGATGTGTCTCTTTGTTACAGGAGTAGTATAACTTGATGTGTCTCTTTGTTACAGGAGTAGTATAACTTGATGTGTGTCTTTGTTACAGGAGTAGTATAACTTGATGTGTCTCTTTGTTACAGGAGTAGTATGACTTGATGTGTCTCTTTGTTACAGGAGTAGTATAACTTGATGTGTTTCTATGTTACAGGAGTAGTATACATTGATGTGTCTCTATGTTACAGGAGTGGTATAAATTGATGTGTCTTTATGTTACAGGAGTAGTATAACTTGATGTGTCTATGTTACAGGAGTAGTATAACTTGATGTGTCTATGTTACAGGAGTAGTATAACTTGATGTGTCTATGTTACAGGAGTAGTATAACTTGATTTGTCTCTATATTACAGTAGTATAACTTGATGTGTCTCTCTGTTACAGGAGTAGTATAACTTGATGTGTCTGTATATTACAGGAGTAGTATAACTTGATGTGTGTCTCTATATTTCAGGAGTGGTTTAACTTGATGTGTGTCTTTGTTACAGGAGTGGTTTAACTTGATGTGTCTCTGTATTACAGGAGTGGTATAAATTGATGTGTCTCTATGTTACAGGAGTAGTTTAACTTGATGTGTGTCTTTGTTACAGGAGTAGTATAACTTGATGTGTCTCTTTGTTACAGGAGTGGTATAACTTGATGTGTCTCTATATTACAGGAGTGGTTTAACTTGATGTATCTCTCTGTTACAGGAGTAGTATAACTTGATGTGTCTCTATGTTACAGGAGTGGTATAACTTGATGTGTCTCTATATTACAGGAGTAGTATAACTTGATGTGTCTGTATATTACGGGAGTAGTATAACTTGATGTGTCTCTTTGTTACAGGAGTGGTATAACTTGATGTGTCTGTATGTTACAGGAGTGGTATGACTTGATGTGTCTCTTTGTTACAGGAGTAGTATAAATTGATGTGTCTCTATGTTACAGGAGTTGTATAACTTGATGTCTCTATATTACAGGAGTAGTATAACTTGATGTGTCTCTATATTACAGGAGTAGTATAACTTGATTTGTCTCTTTGTTACAGGAGTAGTATAGCTTGATGTGTCTCTTTGTTACAGAAGTAGTATAACTTGATGTGTCTCTATGTTACAGGAGTGGTATGACTTGATGTGTCTCTTTGTTACAGGAGTAGTATAACTTGATGTGTCTCTTTGTTACAGGAGTAGTATAACTTGATGTGTGTCTTTGTTACAGGAGTAGTATAACTTGATGTGTCTCTTTGTTACAGGAGTAGTATGACTTGATGTGTCTCTTTGTTACAGGAGTAGTATAACTTGATGTGTTTCTATGTTACAGGAGTAGTATACATTGATGTGTCTCTATGTTACAGGAGTGGTATAAATTGATGTGTCTTTATGTTACAGGAGTAGTATAACTTGATGTGTCTATGTTACAGGAGTAGTATAACTTGATGTGTCTATGTTACAGGAGTAGTATAACTTGATGTGTCTATGTTACAGGAGTAGTATAACTTGATTTGTCTCTATATTACAGTAGTATAACTTGATGTGTCTCTCTGTTACAGGAGTAGTATAACTTGATGTGTCTGTATATTACAGGAGTAGTATAACTTGATGTGTGTCTCTATATTTCAGGAGTGGTTTAACTTGATTTGTGTCTTTGTTACAGGAGTGGTTTAACTTGATGTGTCTCTGTATTACAGGAGTGGTATAAATTGATGTGTCTCTATGTTACAGGAGTAGTTTAACTTGATGTGTGTCTTTGTTACAGGAGTAGTATAACTTGATGTGTTTGTATATTACAGGATTAGTATAACTTGATGTGTCTCTTTGTTACAGGAGTGGTATAACTTGATGTGTCTCTTTGTTACAGGAGTAGTATAACTTGATGTGTCTCTATGTTACAGGAGTAGTATAACTTGATGTGTCTGTATGTTACAGGAGTAGTATAACTTGATGTGTCTCTTTGTTACAGGAGTGGTATAACTTGATGTGTCTCTATATTACATGAGTGGTTTAACTTGATGTGTCTCTCTCTTACAGGAGTAGTATAACTTGATTTGTCTCTTTGTTACAGGAGTAGTATAGCTTGATGTGTCTCTTTGTTACAGAAGTAGTATAACTTGATGTGTCTCTATGTTACAGGAGTGGTATGACTTGATGTGTCTCTTTGTTACAGGAGTAGTATAACTTGATGTGTCTCTTTGTTACAGGAGTAGTATAACTTGATGTGTGTCTTTGTTACAGGAGTAGTATAACTTGATGTGTCTCTTTGTTACAGGAGTAGTATGACTTGATGTGTCTCTTTGTTACAGGAGTAGTATAACTTGATGTGTTTCTATGTTACAGGAGTAGTATACATTGATGTGTCTCTATGTTACAGGAGTGGTATAAATTGATGTGTCTTTATGTTACAGGAGTAGTATAACTTGATGTGTCTATGTTACAGGAGTAGTATAACTTGATGTGTCTATGTTACAGGAGTAGTATAACTTGATGTGTCTATGTTACAGGAGTAGTATAACTTGATTTGTCTCTATATTACAGTAGTATAACTTGATGTGTCTCTCTGTTACAGGAGTAGTATAACTTGATGTGTCTGTATATTACAGGAGTAGTATAACTTGATGTGTGTCTCTATATTTCAGGAGTGGTTTAACTTGATTTGTGTCTTTGTTACAGGAGTGGTTTAACTTGATGTGTCTCTGTATTACAGGAGTGGTATAAATTGATGTGTCTCTATGTTACAGGAGTAGTTTAACTTGATGTGTGTCTTTGTTACAGGAGTAGTATAACTTGATGTGTTTGTATATTACAGGATTAGTATAACTTGATGTGTCTCTTTGTTACAGGAGTGGTATAACTTGATGTGTCTCTTTGTTACAGGAGTAGTATAACTTGATGTGTCTCTATGTTACAGGAGTAGTATAACTTGATGTGTCTGTATGTTACAGGAGTAGTATAACTTGATGTGTCTCTTTGTTACAGGAGTGGTATAACTTGATGTGTCTCTATATTACATGAGTGGTTTAACTTGATGTGTCTCTCTCTTACAGGAGTAGTATAACTTGATGTGTCTGTATATTACAGGAGTAGTATAACTTGATGTGTCTGTATATTACAGGAGTAGTATAACTTGATGTGTCTCCATATTACATGAGTGGTATAAATTGATGTGTCTCTATGTTACAGGAGTAGTTTAACTTGATGTGTGTCTTTGTTACAGGAGTAGTATAGCCTGATGTGTTTGTATATTACAGGAGTAGTATAACTTGATGTGTCTCTTTGTTACAGGAGCGGTATGACATGTGTCTCTATGTTACAGGGATGGTATAACTTGATGTGTCTCTCTGTTACAGGAGTGGTATAACTTGATGTGTCTCTTTGTTACATGAGTGGTATGACATGTGTCTCTATGTTACAGGGGTGGTATAACTTGATGTGTCTCTTTGTTACAGGAGTGGTATAACTTGATGTGTCTCTTTGTTGCAGGAGTGGTATGACATGTGTCTCTATGTTACAGGAATGGTATAACTTGATGTGTCTCTTTGTTACAGGAGTGGTTTAACTTGATGTGTCTCTATATTTCAGGAGTGGTTTAACTTGATGTGTCTATATTACAGGAGTAGTATAACTTGATGTGTCTCTTTGTTACAGGAGTGGTATAACTTGATGTGTCTCTCTGTTACAGGAGTAGTATAAGTTGATGTGTCTCTATGTTACAGGAGTTGTATAACTTGATGTGTCTCTATATTACAGGAGTAGTATAACTTGATGTGTCTCTGTTACATGAGTGGTATAACTTGATGTGTCTCTTTGTTACATGAGTGGTATAACTTGATGTGTCTGTGTTACAGGAGTTTCATGACTTGATGTGTCTCTATGTTACAGGAGTGGTATAACTTGATGTGTCTCTTTGTTACAGGAGTGGTATGACATGATGTGTCTATGTTACAGGAGTGGTTTGACTTGATGTGTCTCTGTTTTAGGAGTGGTATAACTTGATGTGTATATGTTACAGGAGTGGTTGGATTTGATGTGTCTCTCTGTTACAGGAGTGGTATGACTTGATGTTTGTCTGTGTTACAGGAGTGGTATGACATGTGTCTCTATGTTACAGGGGTGGTTTAACTTGATGTGTCTCTTTGTTACAGGAGAAGTATAACTTAATGTGTCTCTATGTTACAGGAGTAGTATAACTTCATGTGTCTCTTTGTTACAGGAGTAGTATAACTTGATGTGTCTCTATATTACAGGAGTGGTTTAACTTGATGTGTCTCTCTCTTACAGGAGTAGTATAACTTGATGTGTCTGTATATTACAGGAGTAGTATAACTTGATGTGTCTCCATATTACATGAGTGGTATAAATTGATGTGTCTCTATGTTACAGGAGTAGTTTAACTTGATGTGTGTCTTTGTTACAGGAGTAGTATAACTTGATGTGTTTGTATATTACAGGAGTAGTATAACTTGATGTGTCTCTGTTACATGAGTGGTATAACTTGATGTGTCTCTTTGTTACAGGAGTGGTATGACATGTGTCTCTATGTTACAGGGATGGTATAACTTGATGTGTTTGTTTGTTACATGAGTGGTATAACTTGATGTGTCTGTGTTACAGGAGTGGCATGACTTGATGTGTCTTTATGTTACAGGAGTGGTATAACTTGATGTGTCTCTTTGTTACAGGAGTGGTATGACATGATGTGTCTATGTTACAGGAGTGGTTTGACTTGATGTGTCTCTGTTTTAGGAGTGGTATAAATTGATGTGTCTATGTTACAGGAGTGGTTGGATTTGATGTGTCTCTCTGTTACAGGAGTGGTTTGACTTGATGTGTCTCTGTTTTAGGAGTGGTATAACTTGACGTTTGTCTGTGTTACAGGAGTGGCATGACTTGATGTGTCTCTATGTTACAGGAGTGGTATGACTATGATGAGAGGAAACAGACATCAGTTAGCATAACAGAGCTTCAGCATAAGTTTGTGACATCAAGGTGACATGTGTTTATCAGTTGTTAAGTAAAGCATGTGAAGTACAGAAGATAAGGAACTGTTTCAGCTGTATTGAGATGCTGTATCACCATGAGGAAGTGTCTTCACCATCCAACATGGGTGCTAGGATGCGTTTGTTTGTTATCTTGTACTTGTAGCTTTTTCTTGTGCATCAAACTAAAACTCTTCAGTGCATTAGATTCTGTCTGTATTAGGTAAAGCTTCAATCTTTATTGTAGGGTTCTATCTGTAAGTAAGGCTTCAATCCTAGTGGTTGGTTCTATCAATATGTAAGAGTTCTGTCTGTAGGTTATGGTTCTATCTATATTTAAGGCTGCTATGTGTAGAGTTCTATCTTTATTATAGACTTCTATCTATGTGTGAAGGTTCTGTCTGTAGATTAAAGTGCTATCTATATGTACGGGTTCTCTCTGTAGGGTGAAGTTGTTTCTGTAAGGAAGGGATCTATCAGTAGGGTAAACTTCTATATATATGTAAGTATTCTGTCTGTAATGTACAGTTTCATCTATATCTACGGCAACTGCATCTAGAGTTCTATCTATGTGTAAGGGTTCTGTTACACTAACAATTTTAAAGGCAACACACTTGCCCTATGTAATGTATAATAATAAATGAAAATCATTTATTTTGATAATCAGTACATGCAAAGTTGTTCCAATGTGGAGTATGTTGTAATTTTGACCACTTTGTTGTCAGTGTCTTGAGATTACACATGAATAAAGTATTCATTATCCAAAACACTGTATGGGTTGATGGTCATGTTTTGCACCTGCTACTATTCAACAGATAAGCAGATTAACTGTCAGTAACATATATTTGAAACCTGCATTACGAACTTAATTTTTATCAAACAGAGAGTGCTACATCACCCACTTGGTATGAGATTATTTAATTTATGGAATTTGCTGCTAAAATGAATAGTCTTAATATGTCTAATCTTAAGCTCCCTGTGAACATGCATCAACGTGTCGGAAACCTTGCATCTATATATAGAATACTTGGCTGGGATTTGGAAAAGATCAAGTACAGTCAGTGATAATGTTCTTTTTACACCCCAAAATAACCAGTCGTATGTGAGTACTGGTACATGTATTGGATATCCAGTCCATGAATTCATTCCAAATATTCTGAACTTTGTCACATTCCCCACAAAGATGGGGTATAGTTTCTTGCTGTTCATTACAGACTGAGCACACTTCCCCATCCTGAACCTTAATAATATACATAAAGAGTATTAGTTCTTTATGTTCTATGCAAAATTTTATACTGGAACGCCTCAATTTCGTTTCTTTTGTAGTTTGAAATGGCTTTGAAAAATATCATTTAGACATTAACTTCCCCTTCATTTCAGAAGAATTTAGGATGTAGTAATAAACTATACAGCCTTTATTATTACTAGAGCATAATTGTTTCAGTGGAGATTCCTCTGTGCCATGAGCAGTGTTATCTTTATCATTGTTCAAAAGTTTCAAGTATTTTTTTATTCCATAATACTCCAGAAAGGAAGAGTTCAGATGATACCTATTAACAAACTCTTTATTAGCAAAGACTGTAAGTATACACAAATGCATACTGGTTTCAGATGAGTTTATTGGCTGTATACTATATTGACCTGTTATCTGGTCTTGAGGGAGTTGAGTTCAGTCAGACACAGACTGATGTGTGACTGACTACCGTCCGTATTTCTACATATTCTATATATTATAGATGTGTTTTGATATACCTTGTCATTGATGATAAAGGTTTGTGTGGCTGAGTAGGGTAAAACTCTACATAGAAAGAGTTATTTCAGTTCTATCACTTACTTACAGAATGCCCGCGGAGACTGGGACTATGTTTATACATCGATATACAGGATTTCATGATTGAACTACGGGACTTGATTGATGGGCACATTTCAGACGCGGTGATTCGGAAAGTTACTGTGTGTGAACATGGGTGGTTGGGGGTTGAACCTGGGCCCTGTTCCTGAAAGCGATCGTAACGCTAAGGTGATCGTAACTCCCATACTTTAACATAGACTTACGACTGTCGTAGCGCTACGATCGCTTTGAGGAACGGGACCCAGGTCAAGTTTCGCTGTGAGAACGACACATTGAACCATTCGAATGACCAGAGGGTGGACACTTCCTTGAGCACGTGGTATTATATTACATATTATCTGTACAGCTGTATGTTCATAACAGTGGTATCGTTACAGTGGTTGCTTGCTTGGTTTGTTGTTTAACACCGCACTCCGCAATATTCCATCTGTATGGCGGCGGTGTGAAAATATATGATCGAGTCTGAACCAAACAATCCAGTGATCAACAGCATGAACATCGATCTACGCAATTCGGATACGATAACATGTGTCAACCAAGTCAGCGAGCCTCTTACGACAAGCATGGGTTACTGAAGACCAGTTCTAAGCCGGATCTTCACGGGTCTCGTAACAGTGAGTGTATTCATAAACTTCAATGTCAACATGTTTAAATCATCGAAGAGACTAATGTAAAGGAAGGTTTATTTTCTGAAGGACCTTCATGTGTTTATTGCGTAGTGAAAACGTAAACAGGTAGGATCTTAAAGCAACTGAAAACATGCTATGTGGTAATCGGTCTTTCAAACCCACGAGTAACCTTCAACGTCGGGTGGATTATCGGGTGTTTATATATTCGAACCAGTTTCGTTTTTGTTTTCTAGTTTTCTCACTCAATTGGCAGGTAAATGGAAAATTAGTAATTTTGAAAAGTGTCCCTTCTGTTTAACGTTAAATGTTGTGTACATTGAGTCTGTGTATACACAATTTCAAATATATTTTGAATACCAGAAAGTATTGAGACGTTTCGCCACAATAGGAGGGACATCTTCCTTAACATACACTCTTGGTAAAAACAATTTTACGAACGTTTCGGGAACTATTCACGCTGGAAGGTGTGTGAGTGAGTTAAGTTTTACGCCGCTTGTAGCAATATTCCAGCAATATCACGGCGACACCAGAAATGGGCCTCTAACATTGTACACATGTGAGGAATCGAACCCGGGTCTTCAGCGTGACTAACGAACGCTTTAACCACCAGGCTACCCCGCCGCCCCCACCGTGAAAGGGGTAAATGTTTGTCAACTGTTTGTCCCTTTTGTGCGGACATATCGTTATCCATTTGTGTCAAGATCGTTTAGGTGAGGGTCAAAAATCGGGTTTCGATCGACTTGCAGAAATAACAATAAGAATTGGTAGGTGTCATGAATGGTGCTCGATAGGCCAATCATCCATGATTATCTTATGCGATGGTAGCGTAGCGATCGGCAAAGCAGGCGGGTGGGGTGCACCGAAGTGTCCGGCCTTGTCATGATGTATTGTACTGTGAAGCTTCTAGAGTATATTTTTTCATCTTTTAATCCTGGCAAAGACACTAGGGCCTGAGGTCGAGGCCCCCCCTCAAGGTTTTCAGGTCTTGTTTGTGCCTAACAATGAATGGTTTAAGAACGCTGATATATTCTCGAAAGGCCCTTTGACCCGGCAATTATCCGAAGCATGCAGGCATTTTATTTAGTATGCAATCTTTACCCCAATATTGTGCCGGTCTCTCGAAATTTCCTGAGATCAACGATAGGTTTAAGAACACCCAAGGATGTAATAGAACAGCCATTTGTGTTTTTCAGGATGGTATATATACAATTGTCGTTTTCAAGGCAGTAAGAAGGCTGGGAGCATTAAATAAATTGTTATATAACACTGTGCGTACACATCACTGATGTTCTTTGCGACATAATGCATTTTGAAAACATTGTGGGACGTATTTAGTACTATTTACATAGAGTACATAAGGTTACATCGCGATTAATCATTTTATGATCTTTAAATACTTTGCTTCCAAGGCCACAAAACAAGATACTTTGTTCAAATGTAAGTATGCCACGATATCGCCGCAACGTCATAAACCGTTTCACCCATGAAGATCCGGGTTAGAATTGATCTTCAGTATTACCCACGCTTGCCGTAAGATGTGCCTAGCGTGATCGGGTGGTCAGGCACACTGACTTGGTTGACACACGTCATCGTATCCCAAATGCGTAAATCGATGCTCATGCTGTTGATCACTGGAAAGTCTGGTCCAGACTCGACTATATCTGCGGCGTAAAACTAAACTCACTCACTCAACCGTTTCCCTATATTATTTACTTCCAACGACTAACTTGAAAAGAATATCGCGTATATATAATTTAGCTGTCGTCACTGATATGACAGGATCTAATGCCGCCTTCAGCAAATTTCTTGACCGATTATATTGTCACGATTGGGTCCCATGCGTGACGAAGGAACACCTTACCATATGCAAATTTACCCCACATCAGTGATATATCACTGAATGGCCGTTCATGCAGAAACATCATGATGGTAGATCAGAAAACTAGATCCAGGGTTATCAATCCAACGATTCTACCATATAAACTACCATTATAAAACTCAGGGCCCAAGACCATTTAATCTGTATATTATCTTTATTGGTATAAAAATAATATGATGTCTTAAAAATATTCCTGTCTCATATATATGGAAACTGCATCCCACTTTGACAAAACAAACTATTATGTTACCTATATAGCAAGTATCACAGGTCCTGCATATTCATTCGTTGTTAAAAATGAAGTCACGAGTTGCCTGCTGTAATATTAATAGGTCTACTGAAAACTATCCTTAAGCAACAAAGCTATTCCGTCCTTTGCCAGTTCGTTTTTCTCAACGTACTGCCCGTTGAAAGGGGATGTACGAACTGAGCAAACCACACCACTTATAAACAACGTAAGGACAAGTTAATGATGTTTCATGTTTAATCCTGATTGGAGCAATTGAAACAATCACAATAAATGTTTCACGTTACCGTGAAAAACAAAACTGTCCATTTTTTTGGCTTTTGCTTTGGAAATCATTCCGATTTGCAACGTCTTTCTTCACATGTTCAAAAGACATAGAAAAATAAAATACAATCGGGAAGGTGGAGTAAACTTTGTAAAACAACAAAAGAACTTTGGAATTGTACGTCATTAGATAACGTGTTAATTGCTGGAATGAGATTAGCGTCTCTCAGATCTGTTATCCCCGGCATGTAGCGGGCTGGCACGAGAAGCACGTGCTGTTACACCACAATCGAGGCAAGCGCCGACAGCAAACAGTTACCATGTCTCTGGCACCTGCCGTCCGTTCAATTGTTTGGCTGAATATGCTGTGGTATTTACCAGTAGTAGAGTTACTTTAGAAGCACTTCCTATGGACGATCGAGGGACCAGACTCGTCGTATTCCTGCTTGCTGATCCACATCTGCTGGAAGGTGGACAGGGATGCCAAGATTGAGCCACCAATCCAGACGGAGTACTTTCTCTCTGGTGGAGCAATGATCTTGATTTTCATTGTGCTTGGAGCAAGGGCGGTGATTTCCTTCTGCATACGATCTGCGATACCTGGATACATGGTAGAACCGCCAGACAAAACAGTGTTTGCGTACAAGTCCTTACGAATATCGACATCACACTTCATGATTGAGTTGTAGGTGGTCTCGTGGATACCAGCGGATTCCATACCGATGAAAGATGGCTGGAACATAGCCTCTGGGCATCTGAACCGCTCATTTCCGATAGTGATCACTTGGCCATCGGGCAGTTCGTAGCTCTTCTCCAAGGAAGAAGAGGTAGATGCTGTTGCCATTTCTTGCTCAAAGTCTAAAGCAACGTAGCATAATTTCTCCTTAATGTCTCTTACAATTTCTCTCTCGGCAGTAGTGGTGAAGGAATAGCCACGCTCTGTGAGAATCTTCATAAGGTAGTCTGTGAGGTCACGACCAGCGAGGTCAAGCCTCATGATTGCGTGAGGAAGGGCATAACCTTCATAGATGGGGACAGTGTGAGTAACACCATCACCTGAGTCCAGAACAATACCCGTTGTACGACCAGAAGCATACAAAGACAACACTGCTTGGATGGCCACATACATTGCTGGGGAATTGAAGGTCTCGAACATGATCTGGGTCATCTTTTCACGGTTAGCCTTGGGGTTGAGTGGAGCCTCTGTGAGCAGCACTGGGTGCTCCTCGGGTGCAACACGAAGTTCATTGTAGAAAGTGTGATGCCAGATCTTCTCCATATCATCCCAGTTAGTGACAATACCATGCTCAATTGGGTATTTGAGGGTGAGGATACCTCTCTTGGATTGAGCTTCATCACCAACATAGCTGTCCTTCTGACCCATACCAACCATCACACCCTGAAAAAGATTGAAAAATATAAGAGCATTGGCAGAATATGGATGTAGACGGGTAACTTATGCATCTAAAAAAAAAGCCAAAAACCTATTCATATTTTGAAGACAATACAAAAAAAACCTAGTATGGCGAATGAAACACACACAATGTTAATTAAGGCATACATACAAACATACATACATAATTTGGTAGTATTAAAGTTGACATCTTGATAAGAAACAACACCCATTTGGTAGATTAAGACGTATGACACAGACAGCAAAGACACAATTTTGTATGCGCGACTATCTCCAAAAGTTTTGTTTAAATTCCGAGTAAGCCATAATTGTGTATACTTGAATTATTGCACACTATAAGAGTCCGGCAATGTTTACATGTTAAAGAATAATATATTCTATATAAGCCTGCAATGTAGATCTAGCATCGCGACACCCACGTGGGACTGTTTACATGGCCTCATGAATAGAGCCGGTAACACTGACCAATCAGAGCGCAGGATAAGTCACATGTTTGAAATCAACCATGACAGTTCGATGCAACGCAGTATGAAGTTCTACAGATTGTTCTAGAAATCTATCAATTTAGGTATAAAAATAATTATTACGCAATAACAAATTCTAGCACATTCGGCATACTTGTACAATGCGCAGATTGTCAGATATAAAAGTACGCGCTCAATAAACTTACAATACAAATTATCCCGAACAACTGAATAAAATGTAACAAACAATATTCATTAAACTTCATATTCAACGCATCATACTAACATTTTTTATCAGCGAATCATGAGCCTAAACAACTGTATTTAAGATTACTAAAGGGGATTGCATCATGAGTAGCAGATGCCAGACCCTGTTTAGCTGAAAACGTGTTATGGTGAAAATTCAAAATGTCGAAGCTGTCACTTCCAGATTCGAGTCAACATAATACAGGAGTTAAATTTATAAATACACATTCAGTGCCATTTAAAATGCATTCCAATTCCTTAATGTATATATCTAACAAATGCATCAATTATGCAATAATTTGCATCATGAAACTTACTTGATGTCTCGGGCGTCCAACGATGGATGGAAACACAGCTCTTGGTGCATCATCGCCAGCAAACCCGGCCTTACACATGCCAGAGCCATTGTCGATGACCAAAGCAGCAACTTCATCATCAGCCATTTTTGATGTTTAACAGTTTGACGACTACAACACAGCAGTAACACACTCCTGTCCTCGTCTATCCCACAGAACGAAATGGCGCCTCTACAACTCGAAGCCGGTAAAATACCTGTTCACCTGGGTCGAGCCGGTATATGACTAAGCTATATTTCCATATATGGTAGTGTGCCCTGTCTTCATTGACTCCTTTTCCAGGAAACGGGACCGCGTGCGCTGAGTATGCCTATTTATGGGCAAATCGAAGAAGCTTATCTCGCGCCCATTTGTAGAGCCTCAGCTATGCCCAGCAGACGGAGGCATGGGTTATTTACAGTCGGTGACAAAGGCTATGTGGAGTGTGTGACAGAGAGAGGGAGTAGAGAGATAAAAAGCGATTGTCGCGCGACTCCAAGCTCAATATAATCTTGAAACAATGTCGACATTGCGGCAAATTATTTGCTTAGGCGAGGCTCTGCTGCTTTGTTTTGCGAGATAAGATTCACATACTCCTGCTTCTCCCATTTTGTTTGCTGCTTTTGGAAAATCATTCGAAAATGCAAGAAGCGGAGATTTATCAAAATATGCTGTACATGTATTTAAAAAAATCTGATTTGAAAACTACCGTATGCAAGTGTTTGCATGGTGTTGTGAGACTGGTGGAGTTGCTGAAGTATAAAATTAGTAATGTTACACGCAAGGCACCCCACTCGACCCGCACTGAAATGGGGTGGGCTTTGCTTTTGATATTTTGATTAGGGCACACCCGCCCATTAGTGGGTAACTGACTGGTATATTTGTAATGTACATGTATAATATATTTACGGGAAAAACTAAAGGTGATCTTGCTACACAAAGACAGCACACAATGTCCAAAAGAAAACTTTCTGATAATTATTTCAGTAATTGTGCCGTTGTGAAATAAGGGTTTTAATGCAAGGGACTGCAATAACTTTTTGGGAAAAGAGTGAGTGAGTTTAAATTAGTTTTACGCCGCAAACATATGCATTAAGTCGCCATATAGCTGGAATATTGCTGAGTATTTATGGAATAATATACTTTAAAGTATTCATGTTTATGGAAACACAAAACTGCAGTTTGTACAGAACTAATTCAAAATATGATAATAGTACAACTGTTGTTCCTCTTTCCCCGAATTATTCATGATATAACCAGTTATGTATGAGCAAGCAGTAACAGTCTACTACACAGCACGGCGCAATGTATAAGCTGCATCACAATTTGTGGAAAGTTTGGAAAATATATCTTTGAAATTGCGAACATTCACACTAATATTACTCTTTGGTTACAGTAATTTGACCACAACAAAACGAATAAAAACCACACGATAATAATTACTTATAACCCGTTTCAACCTTTTTAAATTAAGGTTCATTACTGAAATAGATAGTTTTATAGTGCCGATTAATAGTTACATAGAAATTCTCCCTGTTATTAGATATATACGTTACACAGTGTGACGCAGCGTTTAGTAATCATTGCATTCAAATGCAATAACTGTCTGTCATGTGCCAGATGTAAACCACAGATGGGGCATACGGACATGGTGTTCTGCATAATAGGTTACTTGCAAATCAATTACTTTACATTTATCACCTATCGAAGTAATTCAGCTGACTGGATCATATTGATTAAATTTTCAACCCTGACTTGAAACAGTGTAAGAAAAAGCACGTGGGTATCGCTGATATGCTAATTTATGCAAATGAGCATCTGGAACATTGCAGTGCCTCCCATGTTCTGCATAACAGTAACACCCGTGTGGCAGGAGGGTCGGTGAACAACCAGCATGAGTCACTATTGATTTCACGTTCAATCAGAACTCACTGTCTTGTTGCAATCACATACGACTCTTTTGTTGGGTTAATTCTTGTCAGTTGGGTGACATTTGCAGAAACAAAGTAGCTGAATCAAGTAGATGTCGATATCAGGAGCCTTCCGAGAATCTGCGGTACCCTGGGGTATGAGGGAAACCGGCGTGGGTGAGAACAAGGGATATATGGCTGGTATACTGTCGAGATCGATAACTGAGCTGAATAATAAAGTCAGGGAATCTAGGAGAGGAGGGATATTTCTGATCTGCTAATCACGGACAAATCTAATGACTAAGAGTATATGGGCTAACTGACTGTCCCGTGGTGGGAAACTATAACAAGAGACGATCCCATTGTGAAGCCTAAACTTCAAGGCAATGTGTGAATTTCTGAAGTATCGATACAAGTGAGAAGAATTTGGTGGGATTGTAATCGATTAATTCCGGTATTGAGTTCACCAAGTGTGATATGTGCGTTGTACCCTCCACTGTTAGCTTTCCCATCTTGTTTCCAATAACACGAGGCAGGGAACATATACTGGCTTGCACCGAGTGCTGCTCTCTCCCCTGGTATCTGCAGTCGCCCAACACAACATACCAACCATGCCACCGGCTTGTCCGAAACTAATCACGGCTGGAATATTCTTGACTGTAACTCTTGAAATGAAGATGAATTGTTCCCTGCAGATTTGCAGCAAACAATTTGAATTTGATTTTCAGGGGACAATAGCGCGTGTGTGTGTGCGTGTGTGGTGTGTGGTGTGTCCTCTGTACCCTATAACGGTACTAGGGTATGTCAGCGTGCTCAAAAGTAAACGTAGTGTAGTTTCCTGTGTTGTAACTTTGGAAATTGCGTTGATTACAGGATCCTTATATGTCCTGCCAAGACTATAGCAGACATCAGGGTATGGCCATGTGGCAGCAGACAGCACTGATGTAGGTCTGTACTGTGTGACAACAGACAGCACTGATGTAGGTCTCTACTGTGTGACAACAGACACCACTAATATAGGTCTGTACTGTGTGGCAGACACCACTAATATAGGACTATACTGTGTGACAGACAGACACCACTAATATAGGTCTGTACTGTGTGGCAGACACCACTAATATAGGTCTGTACTGTGTGGCAGACACCACTAATATAGGTCTGTACTGTGTGGCAGACACCACTAATATAGGTCTGTACTGTGTGACAGCAGACACCACTAATATAGGTCTGTACTGTGTGACAGCAGACACCACTAATATAGGTCTGTACTGTGTGGCAGACACCACTAATATAGGACTATACTGTGTGGCAGACACCACTAATATAGGTCTGTACTGTGTGGCAGCAGACACCACTAATATAGGTCTGTACTGTGTGGCAGACACCACTAATATAGGTCTGTACTGTGTGGCAGACACCACTAATATAGGTCTATACTGTGTGACAGCAGACACCACTAATATAGGTCTGTACTGTGTGGCAGCAGACACCACTAATATAGGTCTGTACTGTGTGGCAGACACCACTAATATAGGTCTGTACTGTGTGGCAGACACCACTAATATAGGTCTGTACTGTGTGACAGCAGACACCACTAATATAGGTCTGTACTGTGTGGCAGACACCACTAATATAGGTCTGTACTGTGTGGCAGACACCACTAATATAGGTCTGTACTGTGTGGCAGACACCACTAATATAGGTCTATACTGTGTGGCAGACACCACTAATATAGGTCTGTACTGTGTGGCAGACACCACTAATATAGGTCTATACTGTGTGACAGACACCACTAATATAGGACTATACTGTGTGACAGCAGACACCACTAATATAGGTCTGTACTGTGTGGCAGCAGACACCACTAATATAGGTCTGTACTGTGTGGCAGACACCACTAATATAGGTCTGTACTGTGTGGCAGACACCACTAATATAGGTCTGTACTGTGTGGCAGACACCACTAATATAGGTCTGTACTGTGTGGCAGACACCACTAATATAGGTCTGTACTGTGTGGCAGACACCACTAATATAGGTCTGTACTGTGTGGCAGACACCACTAATATAGGTCTGTACTGTGTGACAGCAGACACCACTAATATAGGACTATACTGTGTGACAGCAGACACCACTAATATAGGTCTGTACTGTGTGGCAGACACCACTAATATAGGTCTATACTGTGTGGCAGACACCACTAATATAGGTCTGTACTGTGTGGCAGACACCACTAATATAGGTCTATACTGTGTGACAGCAGACACCACTAATATAGGACTATACTGTGTGGCAGACACCACTAATATAGGTCTATACTGTGTGACAGACACCACTAATATAGGACTATACTGTGTGACAGCAGACACCACTAATATAGGACTATACTGTGTGGCAGACACCACTAATATAGGTCTGTACTGTGTGGCAGACACCACTAATATAGGTCTGTACTGTGTGGCAGACACCACTAATATAGGTCTGTACTGTGTGGCAGACACCACTAATATAGGTCTGTACTGTGTGGCAGCAGACACCACTAATATAGGTCTGTACTGTGTGGCAGACACCACTAATATAGGTCTATACTGTGTGACAGACACCACTAATATAGGTCTATACTGTGTGACAGACACCACTAATATAGGTCTGTACTGTGTGGCAGCAGACACCACTAATATAGGTCTGTACTGTGTGGCAGACACCACTAATATAGGTCTGTACTGTGTGGCAGCAGACACCACTAATATAGGTCTGTACTGTGTGGCAGACACCACTAATATAGGTCTGTACTGTGTGGCAGACACCACTAATATAGGTCTGTACTGTGTGGCAGCAGACACCACTAATATAGGTCTGTACTGTGTGGCAGACACCACTAATATAGGTCTGTACTGTGTGACAGCAGACACCACTAATATAGGTCTGTACTGTGTGACAGCAGACACCACTAATATAGGTCTGTACTGTGTGGCAGACACCACTAATATAGGTCTGTACTGTGTGACAGCAGACACCACTAATATAGGTCTGTACTGTGTGACAGCAGACACCACTAATATAGGTCTGTACTGTGTGGCAGACACCACTAATATAGGTCTGTACTGTGTGGCAGACACCACTAATATAGGTCTGTACTGTGTGACAGACACCACTAATATAGGTCTGTACTGTGTGGCAGACACCACTAATATAGGTCTGTACTGTGTGGCAGACACCACTAATATAGGTCTGTACTGTGTGACAGCAGACACCACTAATATAGGTCTGTACTGTGTGGCAGACACCACTAATATAGGTCTGTACTGTGTGGCAGAC